ATCTGCACTATTATTCTAGCAACAGTAATCCTACAATTCCTACGTTAGATAATAGTAATACCCACCTTCCCTAAAGGAGCTTCAAGCATTTGCAATCTATAGTTAAATACACATGCTGGAACCGAACCATCCAATAGTGCTGGGAGGTATATATCTCAAATTAGTTTTGCAGCTCCTGTTTTTTTGGAAATGTCTTTAGAATCTATTTTATTCAACTAAATTCCACAAATAAGGTATCTTGCTAGGCTCTAGGTATGCCTTATGTTACTATGGAGCTCACGGTACAATAGTCCCAAACAACTATTAATGACTGCTGAATGATTTAATGAATTTTCAAGATGAATCATTTTAAGAAATTATTTTAAAGTCATACAAACAGTGTCATAAAGGAAAGAACTATGTTTATTATAAAACTGATAAATTTGCTCTGAAACCAGGAGTATAAACATTTTAAAAAGAATGTCACTCATTTCTCCAAAGAAGACATACAGATGGCTAACAAACACATGAAAAGATGCTCAACATCACTCATTATCAGAGAAATGCAAATCAAAACCACAATGAGGTACCATTACACGCCAGTCAGGACGGCTGCTATCCAAAAGTCTACAAGCAATAAATGCTGGAGAGGGTGTAGAGAAAAGGGAACCCTCTTACACTGTTGGTGGGAATGCAAACTAGTACAACCACTATGGAGAACAGTGTGGAGATTTCTTAAAAAACTGGAAACAGAACTGCCATATGACCCAGCAATCCCACTTCTGGGCATACACCCTGAGGAAACCAGATCTGAAAGAGACACATGCACCCCAATGTTCATCGCAGCACTGTTTATAATAGCCAGGACATGGAAGCAACCTAGATGCCCATCAGCAGACGAATGGATAAGGAAGCTGTGGTACATATACACCATAGAATATTACTCAGCCATTAAAAAGAATTCATTTGAATCAGTTCTAATGAGATGGATGAAACTGGAGCCCATTATACAGAGTGAAGTAAGCCAGAAAGATAAAGAACATTACAGCATACTAACACATATGTATGGAATTTAGAAAGATGGTAATGATAACCCAATATGCAAAACAGAAAAAGAGACACAGATGTACAGAACAGACTTTTAGACTCTGTGGGAGAAGGCGAGGGTGGGATGTTTCGAGAGAACAGCATGTATATTATCTATAGTGAAACAGATCACCAGCCCAGGTGGGATGCATGAGACAAGTGCTCGGGGCTGGTGCACTGGGAAGACCCAGAGGAATCGGGTGGAGAGGGAGGTGGGAGGGGGGATCGGGATGGGGAATACATGTAACTCCATGGCTGATTCATGTCAATGTATGACAAAACCCCTGCAGTGCTGTGAGGTGATTGGCCTCCAACTAGTAAAAATAAATGGAAAAAAAAAAAAAAAAAAGAACGTCACTGATACAATTAGATAAACCTGTAATATGGCTTCTTTAAAGAACAATTCCAACCAGATGTGCAAGTTCACTCAGTCCTGCCCTTTTCGTTGTGTTGATGAGGAAACAAAGGCCCAGCAAGACTGAGTAAGCACCTGTGGACACCCAGCAAGTCAGAGCCACATCTGCCGCAGAGCCTTAGGGGCCTCCCTTTCCAGGGCCGTGCTGGAGTACAGGGGTGCACACAGTGCACTGGTTTCCCACGCGACCCTTGAAACAGCTCTCTTCCACTTGCTCCTACTAGTCTCCAGCCATTTTAATTAATTCTAAAAGTGCTTTTTCTTCAGCTATTACAACAGCATTATCCTTATTAAAGGCAGCTAGCTTTTTCAGTTTGGGATTATTTGAACTATAAAATTTTTTTTCAGCTTTAGAATTATGAAATCTTTGGTGCTTTAATACTCTAAGATTCAATTAAGTACCTGTGAAGCACTTACAGTGTACATAACAACACTGTGCTAAATCCTGCTATACAGAATCAAAAAGGAAAAAAAAAAAATTAACCTTGCCTCCGAAGATATCACTAGCATGTTGATGGTATTAGTGTATCCAAAGTGCTAGCGAGATCAAGAACTGGGCAAATCACTGAACCTGTCTTGGTCTAGATAAAGAGTAGTTCTTCACACTGTGCTTTAGAATTCCCATAAATATGTGACACTACAACTACTGACCCTAGGAGACAGAGTCAGGCCACCTGAGTCAACCTCACTTGTCCCCATCCATCTACACCACCCAAGTTCAACCCCAAAGTGGGTTCCTGCATTAAAAAAAAAAAAAGAAAGAAGAAAGCCATTCAGAAAACATAAGGACCACTCTTAAAATTCTGTAATATCCTGTTACTGCTTTTAAGCTGTATTTTTATCACCAATACCTATGTCTGTGATGGTAAAGACATAGCCTCTTCCTATGAGATTTATAGACCACATAAAACATCCTACTCACTTGAAGTACTATTGTTGCGGTGTTGTGCTTAGTCGCTCAGTCGTGTCCAACTCTTTGCGACCCCATGGACTGTAGCCCGCTAGGATCCTCTGTCCATGGGGATTCTCCAGGCAAGAATACCGGAATGGGTTGCCATGCCTTCCTCCAGGGGATATTCCCAACCCAGGGATCAAACCTAGGTCTCCCATACATACTTAGTCCATAAAATCTTACTCAATTCTGGCTTTTCTCTGTGGGATAACTAAAGTATATCATTACTGACTCTAGTTCTAGAAAACCACTCTGGAAGTTTCTCTTAGGGAATATCTAAAGCGATCAGTACCAATTCATGTAATAAGAAACAGTTTTTCTCTTAATACCAACACGCAGACTTCCTGCTGCCTTTCCCCACATTATTTTATGCAAACACGGGAACTGTCCTGTTTGCCCACTGTTGAACTTAACAGGTGCAGAACTGTTCTACCTCTCCTGTGCCATAGAGAGGACAATGAGATTCTCCCACGCCAGCGGCAACATGCTTCCTGTCCCTTTCCTTAACAGGTCTCTGCAAACCTCTTCCTCCGTTGGGTTAACCTTTACTGATTTATCCCAACCCTCAATTGCCTTGCTCCATCAGCGACTTTCCTTCTTATTTGATAAACAGCATTCTTCCATAAAATAACCTAAAATTTTCTTTTGTCTTTGCCTTCCAATTACTTCACCAATTCTTTATTATACTGTGTGGATGATCCATGGCTTATGATACACTGTCTTCAGTTTTCACTAAGTGACACATTAGGAAGCAATTTTACTGAAACTATTATTGTGTTTTTAACTATAGGTGAGGTATAAAGGATATTGCCCTGTCCCCTCTAAATGTGGTCATGTGAGAAATTTCTTTCCTATTGGTACCCAAGAAAAGTTAGTTTTCTCTGATACCCTAGTAAATTTTCATCATATATAAAAATGAAAAAAATCTATATCTCATCACATTTCTTTCCCCCTTGCTCTGGCTGCAAAGCAGCTTTGGGTCAAATTTACAAGTCAATTTCAGTAAACTTAAAAATTTTAATAAATTTGAAGGTCTCACTTATTCATAGTGTAGGTAATTTCATGCTGAGTTTCCATTTTATATCTTCAGTGGCTCTGATTTTAATTCTATTTTGCTTCTGTAAAAAATATATTCTTGTAAATTGCCTCAGATTCTTCATAAGATACGGTATAAATAAATAAGGTATGGCATTTCCAAATCCACTGTGTAATATCTGTGCTTAACAAAGACTAATAGAATTAAAATTTTATTTTTCTGAAAAAAGGAAGCAGAAGAGTGTGGCTAATTACATTATCTGATTTCATTCCATTAGTCATTTTTCTCATGTTATTTATGTTGTACGTATTATTAATCTATGATCTAAACAGTCTACTTGCCATTATCTTCATTAATAATTGAGAAGCAACCTTATTAAAGTCATAAAAACTTTTCATGAAGTATATTGGGATTTTTGGTTTTTACTTGTTTTCAGTTGGATGGTTTACTTTCCTTTTTGAACACACATTTATATGATGGCTCTATAAAAGATAAAAAAATAACTGTAGAAGCAACTGTAAGTAAAGACTATGAGATAGTAAAAATGTCTACAAAGGGAAGTTATGATACAATCTCTTTGAATTTGAATGGAGGTCCTGCTAGATGAGTGTCTATGTCTGTGATACTATTTCTATTAATAGTTTCTATTCTTAACTGCTTTTTCCATGATAGTAGGCAACTTGTTTTCTGGTTACCATTCATTCAATAAAAATTCACTCAGTATTGCTATATAGGAAACATATGGTAGTTTTCAAGTACTCTACAGAAACATGGAGTTTTTTTTAACCCCATGAAAGGGTATGGTAATGAGAAGCTACCATTTATTTTGTTGTACAGCACTGAAGACCCATCATCTAAAACAAATACAGTCAATTCTCATTTGCAGTACTCATGTTCTATAAAGTCACTGCAAACACTGAATTAACAAATACTGAACCACTGGAATATAAGTGTTACTGCAAGTCTCTGCTCCTGTGTTCTTCAACTCATCAATACATAATCTTGTTTTATGTACATTTCTGAATAAAGACAACACTTCAGCACTATGCCCGGGAATCATTTTTAACATCAAAATTACCAATAAAAAGCACAAAAACGTGTAGAATGTGGCACTAAATAGACTGGGAAGTCACTTGTTTATGGTAAGAGAGCACATTTTATGGTTTAAGAAGGCTGAAATGTGCACATAGGGCATATCAAATTTTTCATCACTCTGCACATGTCCAGGGTAGTACTGTTGAGTAGTGAGACTCTGAGATTGCAAATAAATATCAGCAAAGCAGGCTAATCTGCCAATACAGAATCTGCAAATAAAGAGGACTGACTACATGGGTGAGGACTGACTATATGAGTCACATACTTCACAGTGCAGTCTCAGATGTGATTGCCACCAAAAGAAAGAGATATGGAAAGTCCTAATAAGTATTATTCGGCTACTATGTAAACATAAAAGACACTGGACAAGAGTGTTTTAAGAAGTAAGATGTTCAAGGCTTTCATAAGTTGGTATTGTTAAAGATGTTACTTCCTACCTGGTATATTCTAAAAGGGATATAACGAAATCCATTTTCTTCTGCCGGATATTCCATGAGTTTCCGATTGATGGCCCAAAACTGGTCAAATCTGTCTGTAACGATAAATTATTTATTAAAGGTGTATATTATAATTTAATATCTCATATGAAGAGATGAAAACTGTTAAACATCCGTTCTCATAGAAATTTCTGAAAGGGCATTATTTATATATTTCTTCTTAAACTCACCTTTCCATAACTAAACATGAAGCAAGATATAAAATTAATTTTTTCTACATTATTGTTGCTTCTTCTTCCTAGATATTTTTATTAGACACTTTTTCTCATAAGAGAAACCCTAAACAGATTATGACTACTTGGGGGTATCATGGCAAAAAACATCAGGGATTGATGCATGTCTTGATTCCCTTGATCTTATTCCTACTGTCTAAACTATAAAGGCACAGCTTCCAGTGACCTAAAGTTTAACCAGAACTTATTTAAGGAAATAAAGTAAAAACACCAAATACAGTACATGTTAAACAGCAAAAACATAAAATTATAGGACAGGCTTTGAAAGAAATGTGAAACTGACACTTGAGAAATAACTGTCAGTTGCACTTTTAATCTCAGACTGATTAAACAATTCCTTTTTTAAAATGTCAGGCTTGATTTTTAAAAACCAAACTTTACTGATATGTAATTCATACACTATATAAAATTCACTCTTCTGAAATATATAACTGAGTGTTTTTTAATACAATGAGTTGCTAACATGTAATTTCAAAACATTTTCATCATTACCGAAAGAAACCCATATCCATTAATAATTATCCCCTCCCCTCATCTGCTGGAAATCACTAATCCCTATTCTACTCCAAACATTTCATATAAATGGAATCATAATATGTGGTCTTTTTTGTTTCTTCTCTTACTATGTTTTCAAGGTTTATTCATGTTGTAGCATGTATCAGAACTTCATTCATTTTTATGACCAAATTATATTTCATTGTATGGGGATACCACCTTTTGTTTACCCAGTATCAATTCGTGGACATTTTCGTTGTTTCCACTTTCTCGCTATTATGAATAATGCTACCATGAATATTCACATAAAAGTTTTTGTGTGGATGCATATTTTCAATTTTCTTGCGTACATTACCTAAGGATGGAATTGCTGAGTTATAAAGTAACTGTTTATGTGCCGCATGGTAACTACGCTTGGAGGAATTACCAAACTGTTTTTCAAAGAGGCCACACCATTTTGCACTTCTACCAACAACGTATGAAGGTTCTGATTTGTCCACAAACTTGCCAACACATTACTGTTCATCTTCATTACAGTCATTCTAGTGGGTGTGAAGTGGTATCCCCTTATGGTTTTGATTTCCATTTCCCTAATTATGGGCTTTCCAGGTGATTCAGTGGTTAAAAATCCACCTGCCAAGCAGGAGATACAGGTTTGATCCCTGGGCCTGGAAGATCCCCTAGAGAAGGAAACAGCAACCCACTCAAGTATTCTTGCCTGGGAAATCCCATGGACAGAGGAGTCTGATGGGCTACAATTCATGGGGCCCACAAAAAAGTCAGACAGAACTTGGTGACTAAACAACAATAAAGACTAATTATGCTAAGTATACTTTCATTTGTTTACCAGCCATTTACATATTTTCTTTAGAGAAATATCTATCAAATCCTTCGTCCTCTTTTTAATTGGGTTATCTCTTTGTTACAAGAGTTCTCTACGAATTCTGGATATAAGCCCCTTATCTGATAAATAATATACAACTATTTTTTCCCATTCTCTGTGTTGTTTTTTTAACACCTTGAACTCACCCAGAATTCCACCTTAAGATATTTTTTATAGAGAGAAATTCATCTCAGAATTAAGTCTCTGTAAAGTACATGAATACTCCAGAATTTCAGATGAAACTGTATTAAAGCACAGTCTCTACTACTAGACTCATCTCAACCCAATTTACTGGCTATCTATTCATACTGCTTGAGCCATCACAGTTATATGTAAAGAACAAAATTTAGTTGTTTCTTCTTACAGCCCTGTCCTAGATGACTGTGACAGCCTCTAGGCCTTCTCTAGTCTCACTTTTAATCCCAATCTGAGGAAAGACTCATACTACAATAGAACTGGTAGCATAGGGAATTCAGAACCCAGTCAGTCCAGGGCAATTTCACAGACGACAACTAAGGTCCAGCCTGTTATGAGTTTCGTTAAGAACCAAAACCAGACTCTTGGTCTTCTGATTCAAAGCCCACAACCGTTTCAATAGTTGGAACCAGAAAACTGTATCTTAATGCTAAGAGTAGCTCCTTTAACCACAGTCCTTTCATATATGAATCAATCATTCATTCAGTATCTTTTAAAAATTATCTTTCTACTATCAAGTATCAAACAAGAATGTGATAACTAAAGTGATTCTTAATGCACTGCTGAAATTTTACTACTGCCTCATCATTAAATCTAGCACCTACTACAGTGCATGCATAACATATGCTCTTGAATGAATAACAGAATACTAAATACATGAGTATTCATTAAAAATTTTTGGATTCTAGTCCTAGGCCTCCAACGAAATAGCTAGATGACTCAGTTCAGTTCAGTCGCTCAGTTGTGTCCGACTCTTTGCAACCCCATGGACTGCAACACGCCAGGCCTCCCTGTCCATCACCAACTCCTAGAGTTTACTCAAGCTCATGTCCACTGAGTCGGTGATGCCATCCATCTCATCCACTGTTGTTCCCTTCTCCTCCTGCCTTCAATCTTTCCCTGCATAATGGTCTTTTCAAATGAATCAATTCTTCACATTAGGTAGCCAAAGTATTGGAGTTTCAGCTTCAGCATCAGTCCTTCCATGAATATTCAGGATGGATCTCCTTTAGGATGGACTGTTTGGATGTCCTAGCAGTCCAAGGGACTCTCAAGAGTCTTCTCCAACACCACAGTTCAAAAGCATCAGCTCTTCAGTGCTCAGCTTTCTTTATAGTCCAACTCTCACATCCATACATGACTACTAGAAAAACCATAGCTTTGACTAGACAGACTTTTGTTGGCAAAGTAATGTCTCTGTTTTTTAATAAACTGTCTAGGTTGGTCATAACTTTTCTTCCAAGGAGCAAGCGTCTTTTAATTTCCTGGCTGCAGTCACCATGTGCGGTGATTTGGGAGACCAAAAAAATAGTTTGACACTGTTCCCACTGTTTCCCATCTATTCGCCATGAAGTGATGGGACCAGATGCCATGATCTTAGTCTTCTGAATGTTGAGCTTTAAGCCAAACTTTTTCACTCTCCTCTTTCACTTTTATCAAGAGGCTCTTCATTTCTTCGCTTTCCGCCATTCGGGTGGTGTCATCTGCATATCTGAGATTATTTCTTCTGGCAATCTTGATTCCACCTTGTGATTCATCCAGCCTAGCGTTTCTCATGATGTACTCTGCACAGAAGTTAAATAAGCAGGTTGACAATATATAGCCTTGACGTACTCCTTTTCCTATTTGGAACTAGTCTATTGTTCCATGTCCAATTCTAACTGTTGCTTCCTGACCTACATACAGATTTCTCAGGAGGCAGGTCAGGTGCTCTGGTATTCCCATCTCTTTCAGAATTTTCCACAGTGTATTGTGATCCACACAGTCAAAGGCTTTGGCGTAGTCAATAAAGCAGAAACAGACGTTTTTCTGGAACTCTCTTGCTTTTTCAATGATCCAACGGATGTTGGCAATTTGATCTCTGATTCCTCTGCCTTTTCTAAATCCAGCTTGATTGGAAGTCCACGGTTCACATACTGTTAAAGCCTGGCTTGGAGAATTTTAAGCATTACTTTACTAGTGTGTGAGATGAGTGCAATTGTGTGGTAGTTTGAGCATTGTTTGGCATTGCCTTTTTTTTGGGACTGGGATGAAAACTGACCTTTTCCAGCGAGGCGACTAGAAATAAACCAACTGAAAACTCTGCCATAATTCACTTACAGATGAAATAAAGACAGTCAGACTAAATAGTTCTAATAACTTTTCTAAAAATAAAATTTTGTAATTATTTAAGACAACCTCTTTATGAAAATAAAACATTTAAGAACCACAAGCAAATCTTTATTAATGAACCATATATACTGTTTCTAATAGAGAGGGGGAAATGAGCTAAAGGAGTGACCCTTAAGCAGGGAAGATTTTGCTTCCCTTGGGTCTGGGGATATTTTTGGATGTTACCAATATATGTGCGTGTTACTAACATCTAGTGGGTGAAGGACACAGATGCTGCTAAACATACTATAATGCATAGGACAGCTTCCACAGCCAAGAATTACCTGACTCAAAATGTCAACAGGAGGAAAGCAAACACAAATAAGAAGTACAGAAAAATAGTAAAAAGCTTTCACATACCTATATTGCAAAAAAGTAAACTGGAAAAAGAGACATTACTATGCACATTATCAATTTACTGTCTCTCAGCTCCAAATCTGGCTTTCAATATATACATGGCATAATGAACACAATTTCTTTAAGTATCTCTAGGTTCGAACCATGGGTCAGGAAGATCCCCTGGAGAAGGGCGTGGCACCCCACTCGAGTATTCTTACCTGGAGAATTCCGTGAACAGAGGAGCCTGGTAGGCTACAGTCCACGGAGTCGCATAGAGTCGGACATGACCAAGTGAAAAACACACACACTACCTTGACAATCACATTAGACTTTCTCAGTAGAGTATTGGAAGGACACTGCAGGAGAAAGGGGCTCCTGCCTGCATCTGCACACCACAGTCCCCTAACAGTGCCCTGCTTTCCTCTGCAGGCCCATGTGGGTGCCTGACCTACAGCTTCCCAGAGCTGCCATTCCCTCTGCTTGCCCGTGCCACTTGCTGCTGGTGGCCCACACTGCAGGTTTTCCTGATTTCCCAGCAACTTCAGACCTGCTCCAGCCTGGCAAAACAGAGACTTTCTCTACTAATCCAATGTGCTAGAATATACCTTCTCCAATGATTTCGAAACCCAGGCCTGGGAAGGGGCTCCTGGGAAGTGTGACCTTCCTCTTTAGCCCTAGGGTACCAGGTCTGATTTTCTTACACATCCAGTCACTCTTTTATCAGTTTAATAATTCTATA